GGCCCAAATGTGTGAAAGTCAATTTCAGGTTCAAGGTACAGGTTCTAACACTCCACTCTTCGTATCAACGTGCACATATCAAGCCTTGTAGATAGTTTCATGGCTTTCAGTTCAAAAGGGCAAGTAGCCAGATATGCACATAAATTCCAAATAAAAGGCATAATGATGAGACCAACATACGTGAGATAATTATGTAATTATTTGTTCACAAAATGTTAATGACTTGAAAAAAGAAAAAAAAACCCTACTCCTCCTTGGAGTTCCTTAGAGTTGAAAATCTAACGGTAACTCAAAGACAAAGGAGATATTATTACTGGGCACATCGATTCCTAACAATTCCCTTAGAGGACTGTGTATCAAACGGCACTACTGGAAAAGGTAGTGACAGACCTTTTGCTCTGCGGTGCTTACGGGCTACGCATAAAAGAAGCAATGTGTAGGCAGTAGCGACTGAATTGTTTATGCGCTCAAACAGTTGCCTTGAAGGATAAATAAAACTGAGCATGAAATGAAGGTTCATGCAGGTCTATGAGCAAAACAAAAACAAAAACCCAGAAACCAAGCCCCCGTCCTCCCAGGCCACCCTGCCAGGCCCCCCACCCCGCAAGTTCTTCCTCTGGGCTGAAACCCCTTGTGTTTGGAAGACCTACAGGCTTTATCCATTCACCTGGTGGCTCATGAAGACCAGAAACACTGTCATAGAAAGAAGCTCTCTGAATATTCTGAATCTCTAAAGCAGAGAAACAGCAAAAACAGGAGGACAGAAGGGCAAATACACAAACACTTCAGTTAGTGTGAAAGACATTCGACATCACAAGTCAACTTTGCAATCGGGCTACAAAAGCAGCTAGTCCAGGGCAGACCCCATGCAAACATTACTGTTTAGAGAATTTGCACATCTGGACAAAGTTCTGTATAAAATAAATGTATACAGCGGAATCATTCCCAACTCCAGGTGTGAGCATTATATCATATTAATGTCAAATGGTTACCCCCATGTAAACGCAGGATGAAATTTAAGAGTAATAAGGTACTATTTGCGTTGTCTTTCATAAAATTATCCTCCAATTAGCAAATTAGGACAAGACTGCAGCAAGTTAGACTACTCTGGAAAAGGTAAATATTAGTGGCATTTACTGTCAAAAATTCACACTGCTGTGTAATTTTATTTCCCATCCAGATTTTGGAAATATAATTTACTTCAAATACAAACTACAAATAGGTAACTACCACTAAGGAAAACAAAATTCTATTGTAGCAAGTTCTATTGTACAAAATGTTAAAGCAACTTCAAACCATAACTAAGATGATACCTATTGATCATACCGTTACTCATGAACATATCATAGGACATACATTTACATGAAAATGTAATTTTTAGGTCTTTTCTTCCTTGTACGTTAGCCCCCAGAAGTGGCAAGAAATCCGTGTGCAGCTGGTAGAGAGATCGCAAAACATCTTTCAGCAAAAAAGTAGGGCACTATGAATCTCTAGGGCAGGGCTGCCACCAATAAATCTTATTTCTCCTGGTTTGGCCTGGAGGAAACTCTCACACAAAGTTTACTTTAACATGAAATGCTTTATACTCAAGGCATTGCACCTTCACAGGCAAACTATATTCACGCGTCATATAACTCATACATTCAGTCAACCTGTCATGTTCTGCCTCTGCACTGATGTGGCTGTAACAGGAGAAAAGTGATCACATGCTTTTCCAGGGCTACTTTCTTTTCCTAGAGAAGAAGCTCCCCTTCTCCCAAGACATCTCTACGTCCAGAGCGAGCATGGCGAGTTCTCCACCCTACGACCCTCTTCAAAGTCCTGAGCCTGCCGCTGACCTCACGCGTGCAACACGCGGTCCTCGAAATCGGAGGAGCCTGGCATTAGGCTCCGCCTGCCCCTCCCTCCGATGGTGGGCCACCTCTGAAAGCCTGTCACTCAGATTAAACTGAGTAACCATCCACCTGAGCTGACGGATGGCAGGGCGTCCCACTAAGAGAAGCGATACCAGGAGAGCAAACACACAGGATGAGCCCGGAGTGGATGCCGGCACGGCCAGGTCACAATGGGGAGAGGATTTCCGCTCAGCCCATTTGGACAAAAGTGGCCACACGTGCTCCCAAGCTGGCCACGTGGAGAAAGGTGAGGGCCCCGGCAGGGCCTGAGCTGTGGGCCAAGGACAGGTGGACAGGGCTTGAGCCAGGACGGCAGGGCCCCGCAGGCCACACGCCTTTCTTCTCAGAGCTTCTGCCATCAAGTGAGTAACCTGTCTGTAGCTAGTCCATGAAAAGCACAGAAGGGCAGGTAAGGGCTCTGCAGATGGGGTCCTACCTGTGAGACACGTCACCCGCACCTGTGACACGGAATGTGCATCATATCATCACTGCAGCTGCAGCCCCCATCTCCACCCTCACCTGCCGGATCTCACACTCCTGGCGCTTCTGATCCGCTGCTGCCAGAGGCCCTGCCGTACCTGGACGGTGAGGCGGGGAGTTAAAGGAGCCTGGAAGGAGGAAGCCGAGGCAGAGGCGCCTCGGTCCCGTTCCCGCCTGTGTGCGTGTCCTGAGTTTCCATCCGGAAGAAGGCCCTGGGCGGCAGGGAACACGCCGGTTGTGGTTCCCGAATCCACCTCACTGCTGACAAGCGTGGGCGGTGAGCTTGTCCAGCGTGGCTGGACGTGCAGGCTCACAGGAACAGGTCAGGGGCTCCAAAGGTGTTCCCCACAATATTGTTTTTGGTTAAGAAGTGAAAAGACAAGAGTCAAAAGTGGCTCGCAATGTCAGAACCAGTGTGTAAGCCCGGGACCTGCTGTCGTGATTCCCCAAACACCTGCTTCTCTTCTCATGCAAAATGAAGAGAGAAAATCTGTTTTTGAGACTTTAGCGGTAAAATGCTAGTTTCCTCTGTTCCTCTTCTCCTTGGCTTTCCTTCCACGGTCACCTCGCGCTGAACTCCCCGCTTCCGGGGTCTTTCAACCCGGTCCATCCAACAAACCACGGCCCGCTTTGCTTCTTCAAGTTCACACTGTGTCCCTGCCCTGGCCCGTACAACGACTGATGCCATCTAGTCAATGAAGTCAAGTTCACCTGAGACTGGCCACCGCGTTACTCCGTGCTCCGGCCTCATTTCCTGCTCACTCTGCCTCCTGGCCCCAGCCCTGCCCTAACGCCCCAACGGGACACTCACCCCGAGCTGGGATTTTCTACTTCTGCCCTGTGATCGTTCCTTCTACCGGCTTCACCCCCGCTTCTTCCACACCAACATCACTCCTAGAAATGCCATCCACCCCTAGATGAGTGGGTTCGCAGAAACCTACGCACCCTCCATGGTTAAGGCCCCAACAGGATGTGAATGTTCGTCAGGGGGTGCTGGGAGACTGCCCGGCCCTTAGCACGTGCTCAGGAAACGCTGGCTTTCTTTGTTTCTTCAACAAAGTATTATTTTTCAAGGACAAGGAAAACTGCCTCATCCGTCATGACATCTGACCTTAGCACCCCAGGAACAAGGCAGTCCCCGCTCAGCTGTCCCCGTGGCATTCATCTCAGGGGTCTGCGACACTCAGCCATCAGATTGAACACAGCATTTCTGACGGGCAGCGTTACTCCTTCCTCCTCTTTTTGTGACGTTTCCTGTGCACCTTTCCCACTGACCTGTGCTGCTCTTCCCAGCCCTGTGGACCCGGTGGCCACCAGAGCTCAGGGTCCCTTTTTCCACGCTAGATCCATTTCTCAGACCCACTCTCACACTTCCCAGAACAGGGCCAAGAGTCCCTCAGCCGTGTGGGCACCGCAGACACCTCCTTAGGGTCCTGCTCTCGCCTCAGTCCTCACGGGCCCCCCTAGGCTGACCAGGTCACCACAGGTGACAGCGAGCACGCAGCAGCCAGGTGAAGACCTCCATCCACGGGACAGTGATTAAAAGCTTCTGTTTTACTTGCTGGAAACCTAACCCTTCCCCCAGCCCCTCCCTGTACACAGTCTCACGCACACGATCTCTCCCCAGGACACGTGCGTGTACGTGTGCGGTGTGCCCACCCCTGCAGGCTCCCTCGCACTTGTTGGAGCCGATGTACGTGACCTCGACTAGGCTGTCTTTGGTAGGGTCATCATCCCCCTGCTCACTTTCTCTGTGGTGGCTCTTCTCTTTCCGTCTCTTTCCTTTTGTCCTGATTGCCCTAAGCCCTCTGATCTGCCTTCTGGGTTTCTTTCTCTCTACCTGAGGAGACAGCTAGATGGCAAGGTCTTGAGATGCTTATAGAGAAAGAAGCGAGCCAGGTAACTGACAGGCCTGGCCTCAGGGTCAAAGCCTAGGCAGGGGCAGATCCAGAGCTAAACTAAGGTACTGCACGACCTGAGGCCAAGTGAAGCGGTGGGGACAACCAGGACGAAAGCGTAGAGAGCGCTAAATGCCAGAAGATGCTGGTCCCACTACACGTACAGACACACAGCTGCTTTGTTCTTCTGGTACCAGCAAAATCTCTAGTCTATGATAAGATCACCAAAGCCTTCACCTGAGGTTCATGTAAACCGAAGAACTACGGGGACTGACGGAAATAAAAACAACTGATCTATATGCAGATGGTCTGAGTTTAGTCACCAGTCACTTCGCGTGTGTGTGGAGGGTAGGGCACTGGGGGAGGATGCAGCTCGGCTGACCTGGACACGACACAGGGAAGATGCACAAGGCTTCTCAGGTTTTGTATCCCAACACCCTTGGATTACAACTGCACTGGGACCAGGGTGGCCTGAGGCAAATGTGTAGTTCTTTATGGCTCTGCTACTAGAACGTTCCTACAGCACCTGACCAAGAAGGCAGATGTCTTATTACCCAAGTTTTCTTAAAGTGGGTAAATTCCGATACAACGGCAGCCCTGCTCTAGGGAAAATAAACAGCTTTAAAGTAAAAAAGTCTACACACGTCTATAAGTAAAAGAACCATATATAAGCCTTAACTGTAAAAGATTCGGCCAAGTTTGATTACAAACGCAAGCACATTCTCACCATCCTTCCAGAGCTCTGCCACAAATCTGTCGGAGGACTGATGCAGGAGGGTGGCCACGTTGTCATTCAGGGGGTCCATATTCTTCATCAGCCACTCGTCCGCCTTATAGTCCACCTGCCGGGCCAGAGCCGGGTGTGGCAAGAGGGAAAAGACAAAAACAAGAGACATTTCCAGCCTTCACCTAAAACGTTCACAGGACCCCCCCACCCAGGTGGAGGATGGCAACTGCAGGCTCAACCCAAGATTCCCGGAGCCCCGCCCTGTTCCCTCCCCAACAACCAATCAGAAGAAAGTCACACACCCTGCAGCCCTCAACCCAAGATTCCCAGAGCCCTGCCCTGTTCCCTCCCCAACAACCAATCAGAAGAAAGTCACACACGCTGCAGCCCTCACCCCAAATTTTACCTATAAAAACCTTTCCCCCAGGGGCTTCCCTGGTGGCGCAGTGGTTGGGAGTCTGCCTGCCGATGCAGGGGACACGGGTTCGTGCCCCGGCTCGGGAAGATCCCACATGCCGCGGAGCGGCTGGGCCCGTGAGCCAAGGCTTCTGAGCCTGCGCGTCCGGAGCCTGTGCTCCGCAACGGGAGAGGCCACAGCAGTGAGAGGACCGTGTACCGCAAAAAAAAAAAAAAAAACCTTTCCCCCAAACTCTCGGGGGCTCAGGGGTTTTGCGCACGAGCCACCCGTTCTCCTCGCTTGGCCCTGCAACAAAACTTTCTCTGTACTTCCCCCGTTCCACCCCCCAAATAAGTTCATAGAACAATCCCAAAAAAATGGGTTGTCTCGAAGGAAGTGCATTTGTAATATGTACTATATTCAAGAGTTTGTAAGTGTATATCAGCACATTTGTTACAACCTTCATCAAATGCAGCAAAATCTCAAACAGCACTTTTAATGGAGTTCTTTCACTCTTACCTTCCCTGCATAATGTATAATGCAAAAGTCAGCTTTGTCTTTCAGTTGACGAGGTTTCTGAAACTTGGAGTGGGACCCTTGCTCTTGAACTAGTTTTTCAACAAAGGTCTTATCTGTGGCTTTAGGGAACCAGCACTCTTCATCCAAAAGGGCCAGCACGCCAGGAGGGTTAGCCTGATAACAGAGGCAAGAAGAACTGACACGTCTTGCACGTCACTGTACATACAAGGATGTTTTCCACTGGGTGTGGCAGCTTAAATCCCAAAACAGTTAGAGCTTCGTGAAGATCTGTGCAAATCAAACTGCTAGGGTAGCAGGTAATGGCAAATCGTAACTATCATGCAAACACTGAGATCTCAAACTGCTCAACAAGTACTGGTAAGAAAATGGATGAGTACCGTATCTCACAAACTTATAAAAAACTAATTCCAAGTAGATAACTCCCCCAAAAGTAGCAAATAAAAGACACCAGAAAGGAACTGAAAGGTGTAGAGACAAAACGGAACCTTTATATTCAATGACTGGCTGGATAAATTGTTATAAACCCTCAACTAGCTGGAATGCTTCAGACATTTTATACCCCAGTCAATTTAAGTTTCTATTTAAGTGATGATTAAATAAAACGAGCACTTCACGCTTGGTGAAATATTTAAAACTATTGTTAAGTAGAATATATGGAAGGTGATGAAGTAATTTATCAATTACTTCATTGGTTTGTTTTATCAAAAAATAAAATAGAGCCTTCGTTTCACTCAACTAGTTCACTGAAAAAAGCCTTAGAGACTTAAAGACACGGAGACATAAGATAGATTAGTGGCCCAGGGGCTGGGGGAGGGGAGCAGGAGTGACTGCCAAGGGTAGGACGTTTCCCTCTGGGATGACGAAAATGTTGTGGAATTAGACAGCGGTAATGGTTGTACAACTCTGTGAATATGCTGAAATTCACTGAATTACATACTTTAAAAGGGTGAATTTTAGGATAGTGAATTATGTCTCAAATTAAAAAAAAATGCCCAGAGCTTGCCATTCTCTGGGAGCTTGGAAATCAATGGAACGACTTCTTTTTTGGAGGAAAGTGGGGTACACATGAAAGCTAAGCGAAATATTTAATGATGGCCTATTTTATAGTGCTTCGGGGGTCATCGTTTATTGCCATACTGCAAATATGGCACGTTTCTGATACAAGACTGAGCGTACCAATTCTAGGGCACAAGGATGAAATCAGCTTTTGGAATAAATCTCTTCAGACCAGTTTTCCTCAACCCACAAGGCCTTTACGTTTACTGCAGAAGAGCTGGCTCTGCGCAAATATTGCTTAAAAAGTAACTGGAGGTTCTAGTTAAACATGAATGAAACAGTGTAATAATGTGGTCACAGGAAGGCAGAGGTTAACAGAACAGAGCAGGTAGAAGCAGCGGAGAGAATCCTCCCCGCTCCGGGAGCCCAGGACTGAGACCCTTACTCCCTGGCTGTCTAGTTTGTGGCTCCTCTACCTGAAAGGATTTGCAGGGTTCAGAGCTGCTGGAAGAACACTATAATCAAAGGCCACTAGGCTTAGGTGATCCTAGGGTCCAGGACGGCATTTAACCCAATTTACCCCACTCGTCTGACATCTTTGAGAAATGAAGTTCTAGATTAAGATAAGTGAAACACCCATCTTTCTGCCATAATTTTTACGTTTTTAATCTGTTTCAATGAAAATATTTCTAAATTCTGAAAAAGGAGCCAAATATAATTCAATCTTTTCTGAAGGACTAAGTGACAGCATGATTCAGAAGATCTACAATTTTGTCTCCTTTTCATTTTTCCTACTTCATCTTTCAATGTCAAGATCTCTCATCCCTTTTCCTTTTCACTGGGGATTTCTAAAGAGCTTTAAGTTTGGGAGACCACGTTTTGTCTCGTGGTCAGAGTACTGTAAGAAGCCAGGCGGAGCCCGGGTTTGTGAGAGATGAGGGCAGACGCCCAGGACAGGCAGGTGCCCCGACAGAGTCGTTTTAGGTATTTTTCTTCTGGAAAAAGTTGTCCTCACTCTCCATTTTGAAAGGACCCACGATGGAGTCATGATGCCGCATCATTCTACATGCTATAGTTAAACTCCCTATGATTATAAACTCTTACAAGGTTTTGAAAAACCTTATAAAAAAGCATCTTTGTACTTATGAGGCTAAGCTTTAGTTACCCCCCAAAATGGATGTGCAAGACCTGTCTTATTCCCAGCTAGACACGGTGCCCCTCTATCACCTCGGACGTGTGCCCAGGAGAGCCCCGCACCCTTGACACGTGCCGAGCGCTGGAGTGAAGGCAGCTGCCGCCACCACCGTGGCACCTGCGGGCAGCGAAGGCCCGCGTCGGCCAGCGCACGGCCCCACGCGAGGACAGGACACGGCCGTGAGAAAGGACAGCTCAAGAAGGGTCTTACTGGCACGCTACTCACTTTTCAAATGGATATTTCAAATGGGCATCCCTTTCCTAGGAAATTTAGACTAGAACATTATCTTAGCACCCATGAGACAGGATAATTCCCGTCTCAGTTGATGGCGAGAAAACACTCAAGGCACCGCCTGCGTGGGAGCTGAGAGCCAGAGGGCGGGGAGAGGATCTTACGGGTCTCTCGATGAGGTCGATGCACGGCTGCAGGTCCAGCCCGAAGTCGATGAAGTTCCACTCGATGCCCTCGCGCTGGTACTCCTCCTGCTCCAGGATGAACATGGTGTGGTTGAAGAGCTGCTGCAGCTTCTCGTTGGTGTAGTTGATGCACAGCTGCTCGAAGGAGTTCAGCTGCAGGTGCAGGAGAGCCATGTTCCAAACGGGGGGCGGGGGTGGGGGAGGGACAATGAGTCAGCTAGTTCTCAGAAAGTTCTCGAAGAGTTATTCATCAGGTCTTGACTACCCCACTGAGCCCATGAGATGACAGTGACTAAACAGAGGGGAGTCCCTCTTAATCTCTGTCTCTCACACTCACACTCACACACACACACACACACACCCCCATATCACATTACTGCGAAGCTAAGATGAGAAAACGATACTTAGTGTGCTGAGTGTCTACAAATAAAACCATTTTGATTAGTGAATGGTTAATGAAGAGAAATGAATAAATGAGAAAGAAAGTGAGAAAAAGAAATGAATAAATGAGAAAGAGAGAAAAAGAAGAGAAACAAAGAGACAAGGAGGCAAGCACGTCTCCATGAGCTTTGAGGGTCCAGAGGACAGATGGGCTGCGGCCTCCTCCGCTCCTTACTTAGGCCAGCGGCTCCAGAGTGAGTTAAGGAAAACAACAGTAGAAACAAATAATAACCTTTTCATCTGTTACAGACATTTCTCTTTCCCTCTCTGTGAAATCTGCGCATTTCTCTACTGTGCTGCTGATGGGATGAAACATGGATGGATGAAGTAACAGGGATGATTTTCTTAACGCAGTCGCCTCATATGAGAAGTACTCAGCCTTTTCTTCTGCTTCCATGCTGTCCACACAAGTACCATGGGCCCATAAACAACCTCTTTCATTATAAAGTGATCTTTAATTAGGGAAGGTTTAATCAAGCCCCAAAGAATAGACTTATAGTCTGAAAAAGCCATTCCAATCTTCCCTGGGAGGTGTCACACTCAGCGTCTTAGAACGAGGTCACGCTAGGAGGGTCAGGGCAGAGTCTGCCGTGTTCAACGCCGTATTTCTAGTGACCACATCAACACCTGCAGACCGCCCGATGGTGCTCGGTTACGTTTATGTGAATGGATTTTGCTCTGCCTTAAGATCATGAGATCTTAGTGCTCCATTTAGCCTGAGCTACTACATGTGATGGTATTTTTCTTTAATGGAGTTCTACTTGTCTTCCTATTTAAGCTACCAACTGTATTTTAAAATAATCGATTTTTAAATTGGTAACACATGGTATAAAATTAGAAATGTACAGAGAGTTGCACTGAGAAGTCTCACTCCAGTCACCCACTTGCTCTCCTGTAAGCAACCACTGTCACCTATTTCTTGTGATCCTTCCAGAAATAGTCTGTGCACTCATAAATGTGTGTGACCCTGATTTTTAAAAAAACTTAACAACGCATCTTGGAGTCTGTAATATAATGCCACCTCATTCTTTATAATGGGTGCATAGATCTCTATTGCATGAATATATATAATTAATCAAACCAATCTACGGTGAGCATAAATCTCCTAACAGTGGACATTTTCCATTCTTTTCCGTGACAAATAACACTCACTAAACAATCCTGCATTTTGAGCGTCTAAAACATTTTCCTTTTTCTTTTTACTGTCTGTGTATATTCGTATGTCAAAACCATACAGCTTTATAATTTTTTATCTCTTAATATCCTCTTTTCATTTCTTTTTCAGAATTTTACTATCTATACCTATATTAACTTATTTTTCAAATTAGTTTTAGAAGCAGGTTGCCTAGTCCTCCTCTACCCCTTGAAATAGGTTTTAAACAAGTACGTTCACTTTAAAGATAAATTTGGGGGAATTCCCTGGTGGCGCAGTGGTTAAGAATCGGCCTGCCAATGCAGGGGACACGGGTTCAAGCCCTGGTCTGGGAAGATCCCACATGCCGCAGAGCAACTAAGCCCATGCGCCACAACTACTGAGCCCGCGTGCCACAACTACTGAAGCCCGTGTGCCTAGAGTCCGTGCTCCACAACAGGAGAAGCCACCGCAATGAGAAGCCTGTGCACCGCAACGAAGAGTAAGTAGCCCCTGCTCACTGCAACTAGAGAAAGCCTGCGTGCAGCAACAAAGACCCAATGCAGCCAAAAATAAATAGATAAATAAATAAGATAGAATCTATGCTCTTCTTTCTTGATGTTAAAAACATATTTTAAAAAAAAGACGAACTTGGGGAAGATTTACACCTTTACAATGCTGAATTTTCTCATCCAAGAACAAGCTATATTTTTACATTTCTTTAAGTCTTTCATTTTTTCACAGTTGCACTGTAAAGTTGTCAACTAAATCTTGCCCATTTCTTCTTAGGTATTTCATCTGTTCTTGTTGGCAGCTGGAAGTGGGGGTCTTTTCTTTCACTGTATCTTCTGATTGTTTATATACAGGAAGGCAACAGACATGCAATTTGCACGCAGCCACCTTTCATGGTTTTTCAGTTATTCACAAATCAATACATATTAAAGCAATCTTGGGGCTTCCCTGGTGGTGCAGTGGTTAAGAATCTGCCTGCCAAGGCAGGGGACACGGGTTCGGGCCCTGGTCCGGGAAGATCCCACATGCCGCGGAGCAACTAAGCCCGTGTGCCACAACTACTGAGCCTGAGCTCTAGAGCCCTCGAGCCACAACTACTGAAGCCCGCTCACCTAGAGCCCGTGCTCCACAACAAAAGAAGCCACTGTAATGGGAAGCCTGTGCACCACAACAAAGAGGGGCCCCCGCTCGCCGCAACTAAAGAAAGCCGGCGCACAGCAACGAAGACCCGACGCAGCCAAAAATAAATAAATTAAAAAACAAAAAACATATTAAAGCAATCTTTTATAGTGGCAGTGGCAGTTTGGGGGATAAAACTGCTTATACCAGTCATAGTTCAGATTTTATGAGGACAGACTTATATAGTCCAAAGGGGTTCATTTTAAAATAGGACAATTCAGTATCCAACTGGTCAAAGCAGCACACTGATCCCAAGAAGTATTTAATTCAGTATTTGTGCCTTGCTATATAGTGTCTATCAAAGGAGAGATAAAGATACACATTTTTAGGAGACCAAAATTTTGTCAATGTTTAGCAAAACCAACAGCAGGTATGTGACGACAAACCTTTGATGGATTGATGGTGAGTGTTTGGAGAAATCTAGTCAGATTAGTAGTGAAATATATTGAGGTGCACCACCAAATCCTGTGGGTGTATCTTCAGAACAGAGTCCACCGTTTCCTCATCTCTTGATCTCACACAGCTGCTCCTGACTCCCGCTCAAGTCAGTGTCATCTGGCCGCCAGGCTACGGCAACGCCATCCTCCACTGGCTCCCTGCTTCCATCTCCCACTCCATGTCTCCAGCTCCTCTGGCCCTCTGGTCAGCTACATCTAGTCCCACCGGCTTTCTAGCAGTTTCTCACATCTGACAAGTTCTCTCCCATACAGGACCACTGGACCTACTCTCATTATGCTGGGGCTTCTTCCTGAGGCCGGGGGCTTCTCGTGCTCCACTCTTACTGCTGCAGACACATCTTCCACAGTGGGCCCCCGCAAATTCCTTCTATTACAGCCCCCCCCCCTTCATTATCCAAAATTCTGAGAATTTTGGGTTTCTGTCACTCAATGTTTGACTCTCTACTATCAACAAAATGGCAGGGACTGTACCTACTTATCTACCATCATATCCCTGGTGGCTGGCACTGCAGCTGGTACAGAGGGAGCCTTAAGTGTTATTTGTTAAAAGAGTAAACAGAAGGAAGGAAAAGCAGGAGGGAGAAAGATATACCTCAAAAATCTCAAATCCAGCGATATCCAGGATTCCAATGAAAGACGCCCCTTGCCGTTTGGTCCTATCCAGAGCTTTGTTGATGCGGTGTACGAGCCAGCGGAAGAGCCGCTCATAGGTAGCTTTTGCCAAAGCTTCTACTGCAAAATCTGCCTGTAATTAGACAACATCAACCTTTTATTCCAGAAATAATCTCAACAAAACACTAACAGCTGTTTGATGGAGGGAGTTTAATGATCTACAGCGCCCCCAAAACCCTAAAAGAGCACTGACTGCTTAATCCTCTCTGAATTTTATACATCAACAGAGGGTATTAGTACAATTAAATGTACACTGGAGATGATCAATGTAGGAAATGGGCGGAGATGCCCAGTAAAAATAAACTCTTCCCTCTGCCCCTGGGGTTCTAGGCGGCGCATCTGCCCACAGTCCACCAGGAAACGGGTGACTCTGACGCCTGCATTCTTGGCGCCGTCTCCCCTCCCCCCAACAGGGACAAGGGAGCAAGCAGGGCACCCCCCCTGTTGGGCAGGACCCTGAGGTACATGCCCTGGGGAACATGTATGATCCATCTACCTGGGGAAAACTCACGGTGATATTTCAGATTTCCTTTTTTTTACAAGTCACCTCTAAAAACGTTCTGAGAGAAGGTACTCAATTAGTACCAAGAAACATCCATATAATAGAGGTTCTGCTGATTCGGTTTGTTACATGCCCGTCAGAAGGTCTAATGGCCACGGTCATCATTCAAACAAACGTGTGACAGCAACTGACGTGAAACTTACTTGTTCTTTGGTCTGTGCTTTCTGCACGTAGTCTCGGCCGACCTTGATCCGGGGGGTGAGAATAGCCCGAGTGAACTCCATCACATTCATGCCCAGAAGATGGCAGAGTTTCTGGGCAACTAGAGGGTAAAAGGTCTCCTAAATACTAGGCTTCTACTTATGATTTAGTCACAATATATTCAGTCAACACTGGAAACGCCTGAGTAGTTATCAAATTGTATTAAGAAATTAAATATAAGGCATAAGGTTGGGCAAGTTTTAGGTCTGATGACAACGACCTTCCTCCTTTCAAATGAATAATACTCATCCTTAGGCTATATAAGAGAAGATGAGTCAGCAATGACTTATTCTGGGTAACTTAATGCAAGTTACTAAGTCTTAGAACCCATGGATAATGCACAGAATGAGAAAAACGGTGTTTAAAATAGTTTAAATCATCATGTTACCAAGACAACTAATCATGCCCATACAGTGATCCTAATAATATTCTAGTAGGCAAGAAACCTAAAGGTTATTAAAATTATTTGATTCCTCGGCTAAAAAGCTGCTCATTTTGTTACTGTTGATTCTCACCAGCATTAGGGCACCCACCTCAGCAGAAGTTCACTGTCTAATGTCACTAAGGTCCAACAAGTGTTCCAATTATTACAATAAATGTTTAATTAAGTGTTAAAATAACAATAAAATTCTATAAGGGTAAGTACATTTTAAATCACGTTAGAAGCATAACCAAGTTCCTTCTCAAAGACGCACTGCATCCTACCCCCCTGTGATCCAGGTGAACTGTTGGCAACCTAGCAGCTCCCTGGGTGGGCAGGGCAGGCCGTGCCTCAGCGAGCACTTCCTTTGCTTTGTGACTCTTCTCGCCAGCTCTTACCAGCTGCCCTCCTCAACCCCTACGTCCTGCCTCCTTTTAGTTAACCTACATGTGTGTGCTCGTGTGCACGTATTGAATGGGAAGTTGAAAAATACAAAGAAGCAAAAGGAAATTGCCTACACTCTCGTGCTTTATCACGATAAACATCATTTTAGCAGCGAAAAAATAGACTTTAGAGTGTGGTTATACCTTGGCTTACTTTCCTCTACCAGGAAAACAAGTTCCCTTATAATTGCATCACATTTTCTACTTCCTAAGCCTTATTATCCTCTTATTTGCCATTTATGCTTTTTTAAAAGAGTCATATTCAATCTAAAAGGCAGTAATTTGCCAATATCGCTCCGAAGGCAACTCCAGGGAGGCGCACGTAAATGTTTCAGCATCACTGGAAACGGAACCATTCACCCTGATTGCACCCTGTGGTCATTTTACATGTGCCTCTGGCCTCTGTTCTCCTGCAGAGAGGTGGTTAGATCTGGCAGGCTTTTTTTGGTTTTCGTTTTTTGTTTTTGAAGCAGCAATAATGACCCTAATTTCCCAGCTCTCGCTTGGTCTGTTTGTGATTGTTTTTTCAGATTCTATCTAGTTTCAAACTGCCTTATAGCCAAAGGCCAATAATCAAAACGTGCTCTTCCTTTTGGTTCATTATTATGTTTGTGATAAATTTCTGTGATTAAATGTATTTTTTTCTTTTGAATTTGTGGTGCTCTGGTACTACTGGTTAACAGCTATTTGCTATATTTACCTTATTCATGGGGCAGGGAGTGGATAAGGAGGAATGCGCTGTAGAGATTCATGTTTAATAAAGATAATTTTACTTTTAGTACTATAGACAATAGTAGAGAATAAGTCTTTTTTAAGAAATGCCACTTTGGTACCAACATGTAAAAATGCCATGGGAAATTAATGTATAATAACATATTAATAACCTGATGAAATACGCCAGTCACAAAAGACAAATACTGAATGATTCCACTTCCACGAGGTGCCTAGACTAGTCAAATTCATAGAAACAAACTAGAATGGTGGTTGCCAGGGGCTGGGGGAGGGGGAAATGGGGAGTTGTTTTAGAGTTTAAGTTTGCAAGATGAATTCTGGAGACTGACCGCATAATGATGCGAATATACATTACTGAACTGTACACTTTAAAAATGGTCAAAATAAATTTTGCTATGTGTAATTTTATCACAATTAAAAAATTTTTAAATATTGATAACCTGAAAAACTCTGTAAGAGAAAGAAATATCACCAATACTAAAAGAAGTCCAAGTGTATATATGCTCACTTCAGGCCCTTATTTTTTGATCCTGAGTCAAGCATCAGACTAAAATATTTACAAATGAAATATCTGGGACTTGCTTTGAAATAATCCAGAAAAGGGGAAGTGAGAGGTGGTATGAATGGAACACAACAGGCCGTGAGCTGGTGACTGTCTACGGCAGGTGACGAGAATGCGGGGAGTTCTCTACACTCTTCTCTCTCCTATTACATGTTTAAATTTTACTGTAATTAAAAAGTACAAACTCTTACACACTGCAACACAGCAAGTGTTAATTAACCACCACGACCTAATATAGGTAATAATTTGAGAAAAATTATTTATAGAGTTGTAATTTTTTAAAGCTTCTCATACAATTAGAAAGAGATTTATTTTACTTTCATTACTGGTGATGTAGTGAACAGCAATGAGGCAATGACACTGGAGCCATTTTAGTTGTTGTTTTTTTTTAAAAAAAACAGTTGTTCTGTAAATGAAGCAGGAAATACGGAAAAAGGAGGGAAGGATGGAAAGAAAGAAAAATAAAGTTAGAAAGAGATAAAGGAAAGAAGAAAGAAGAAAAGAAAGAAGGAAAAGAATAGAGAAAAAACAAAAAGAGAGGGAAAGCCTTGCCATTATGAGACATTTCCAGATTTTCAGGGAAAATTTCAAATGCCATAGTCTATAAAATTGTATGAAAAAGTAACAAATCAAGGGCATTAAAAAAACAAGGAAAACAAAATCAACCATTATAAGCTAAAAGTTACCTTAAAATAACAAGTAGAGGACTTCCCTGGTGGCACATTGGTCAAGAATCTGCCTGCCAACGCGGGGGACACGGGTTCGAGCCCTGGTCCAGAAAGATCCCACATGCTGCGAAGCAACTAAGCCTGTGCGCCACAACTACGGAGACTGCACTCTAGAGCCCGCGAGCCACAACTACTGAGCCCACGTGCCACAACTACTGAAGCCTGTGTGCCTAGAGCCCGTGCTCCACAACAAGAGAAGCCACTGCAAGGAGCAGCCCGCGCACCACAATGAAGAGCAGCCCCCGCTCGCTGCAACTAGAGAAAGCCTGTGTGCAGCAACGAAGACCCAATGCAGCCAAATAAATAAATAAATATTTTTTAAAGGTTAAAAAAAAATAACAAGTAGGAAACCTATCACATTATATTTTAAAAAGCAGAAACACACTTGGCTGCCTTGTCTTTCAGAAGGGTGACCTGATTCTCTTCTACCTATAGGTCAAGATTTCCAAGCAAAGTTACACTAATACATTTCTTGTTCTAAATCTTAAACTGCTCGATTTTAAGTCTTACTTAACCACGTGAAAGCTACATGGAAGAAGCTGGCCCAAATGTCAATCAAAATACTTTGACTGAATGATGTATTTCGTGATCCTGGAAATCTAAAGATTTAGGATGAGGTGCCGAGGCTTTGTCAGGAAATGGTGGTGATGAGGTATCAGGAGACGGACAGGTCCCTTAAAAGGGTTACACAGAATTAAATTAATATTGGTTACAACAAAGAAGGCCGATTTCCAGGGCAGAGACTGTGATGCATGTCAGCCTTCACTGGCCACAGTGGATCCTGTGAGGCAGGATAACGTCCTTGGGTGATCAAGCATTGGAGTCAAAACACTGATTCCTCAGTTTTCTTTTTGTCTCCAGACCTTCAGAAGCAGACCCCACAAGGCTTGCAAACACATTTTATGGTTCACAAACTTCTGTCCTTGACCAGTGTGAATTTCGATCCATTTTCGATATTTAAAAGCTTGAAGATTTCATATTAAAATCTAGGTTTCCACCTTTCTTTGAAAAGTCAATTCTAGTTGGCAGCCCTGGGCCTATACTGCTGCCAAGGAGAAAACTGGCTACAGAACCTAGCAGCTGCAGCTCCGTTTCAGGTGAGCCCTGTGGTCTCTGCAGCCTGTGCCCCCTTCCACCCCCCAGTCCTAACGCCCCATGGCTAAGGCAGAGTCCCCACTGCCGCGTCTCACCCTGCACCCCATTCTCTTCCTTCCTTTATGGAATCAGAGTGACCCTTACTCCTAGGCACGTGGAGTCTCATAGGAAACACTTCAGGAGGACTTTTATGCTTGCGTTGTAACATGTTTTTGGAGAACACAACAGACCACGGAAATAAAATCAGTATTCATCAATTACCTGTATTCTCCGGCATGGAAGCTTGATCAGTGTTTCGCTCCTTTTTGAAAGAAATATTTCCGAACTGTAGCACTGAAGATACCACTTTAAGCATTGCTTTATGTTGATATAAAAAGAAAAGAATTAATTAAGATACTGCATCAAAATGTAGCAGAGACATATTCTAACTTATTTTGTGCTAAAAATTAGCTATACAAAATTTTTCAGTAAGACAAATCTCAGGATTTCATAAAATTACAGGCAGTTCCTTCCCATTAATTTCTCAATCATTTTCTAGTTCAGGTAATTTACCCCCAATTTATAAGTCTTATGAAAATTGAGCATCAGAATCTTATGAGAGAAATCACACATACACAGAATCTCTTCGTGGGAGAAGCCCATTATATGCATTGCTTCCATTGTCTCTTGAAAGTTATCTTTGTCTTGCTGTCCCGGAATAGGAATATAGCCATTGGAGAGAAATCTGTAGTTATTAAATCCTTCAAGGAGCAAATCAGCTGAAAGAAAACGTAACAGGATACAACGTAATAAAGAGTCAGCAACAGACTCAAGCACATCCCCACCTTCCAACTGCACCCACACGGCAGAAGAACATGCAACCCATCACCACCACGTACTTCTTCTTTCTTTATATGCTCATGTTAAATACACAGACATGAGACAGTTTTCCATTATCTGTACAATGAAGGAAAACGATGATGTAAACAACAAACATCTAAACAGGGGCCTTGGGGAACAGCGGTTTGTATAATATTATATTTGAAATCAGAAAAGCTGGGGTATGATAATCTTCCAGATAACTTGATTTTCAGATTTAAATATTTTAGGCATCTTTTGAGGGAAAGCTTTCAAACCCATATTCTATGTTCCTGTATTAGCAAGGAGTTTATAGCAAACACTATGAGGTCAACGTGAAGACTGCACATGGGCTTAGATAAAGACTTGGGTATGGAAGGTGTAGAATATGGACCAGGCAAAATGCTGAGCCCAGACAATGCCTTGAAACTGTTTCTCCAAGTCAGTCTGTTTAGTGGTACATTGCCTCTGAGAGTGATGTCTGACACAGTAATAGTCTGACAGGGTATTATAACGGACACTCCCACTGACTCTACGCTTCAGGGTCCATGAGTTAGAGAGAACTCAACCGACTCCTTCAAGAGATGTGTTCTTAAGAGCAGAAGGACGTTCTCAGGAGCACTCAGAATAGTAAAACAGGTCGTTATCCCTTCAGTAGATGTTATCACGTGCTCCTAGCTTTCTGTGTAACTGGCTCTGCCGCAGAGGATTTCTCCCGATCGCCCCCATCCCTTAATTCTCATTTACATCACACTGAGCTTCTACTGGGTATCGCTTGCTTGCGAGAAGCAGCATGGACTTTGAAACTCAGAAGAAACTGGAAAGTTGTGTACCTTCTCCTCTCCCTCCTGACCCAGCAAAACTCTGACCCAGAACAGAATTTACTTTTTACCCCGTCCAACCCTAAACTTGTGATTCACAAAATAAATCAATAAAAATCCGCACAGGTTCTTTCTAGTACTACTGGAAGCATAACACATATTCAGTTGTAAATCTAGGAATACACATATTTATTCAAGTTAATTTTATTAAGTAAATTTATTTTCTCTTACTTTTGTATCTATAAACTTTGAAATGGAATGTGTATAAAAACACGTCATTTGTCTTCTAATTTAAAATTATTTTAAAAGAAAAGAAACAAAAGTACAGAAGATCATAGAACACCACCCCTATGCTTGCCACTTAAAGTACTGATCCCATGGCTTGGAAGTTCAACATCATTTTCGTAATTTAACCAGCTAGGATTCTGGTGTACGTGTATAAATCTGTTTCCCAAAACTGTTCTCTTTCTCAAAAAAATTTTTTAATATTAAAAAAGATACTCAACTGAATATAAAATAGTAAAGAACTCTGTAACTTACACTTCAGATGTTCTCCTGCTCCAGATAACAATTGGTAAAAGATATGAAAAGTACGTTCATCTTTTGCTTGACGGACAGCACGAGATTTTTCCAGAAGGTCTGAGCAAAGGAGGTTAAGGGTGACACTGAAGGCAGGAAAAGCCTTTTAACATCAGAATTACTATCACAACTTCACAAATAAGGAAACCAAGGCACAAAGAAATTACTCAAGATAACACAGCTGGGACTTCCCTGGTGGAGCAGTGGTTAAGAGTCTGCCTGCCAACGCAGGGGACACATTCAATCCCTGGTCCAGGAAGATCCCACGTACCGCGGAGCAACTAAGCCCATGCGCCACAACTACTAAGCCTGTGCTCTAGAGCCCGTGAGCCACAACTACTGAAGCCCGTGCGCCTAGAGCCCGTGCTCCGCAGCAAGAGAAGCCACCGCAATGAGAAGCCCGCGCACCGCAACGAGGAGTCGCCCCCGCTCACCGCAACTAGAGAAAGCCCACGCGCAGCAACGAAGACCCAACGCAGCCAAAAATAAACAAATAAACAAACAAATAAATAATAAAAATGCGAAGCATTGTATGTAGAAAAACTTAAAAAAAAAAACACCAGCTAATAAGTGGTAGAGGTACAAATCAAAACTTTGTTGAACTCCAAAATACATGTGCGTAACTCCTGTCCTACCCCTTTGAGGCCCCCACTCAGCGCCTGCACGTCATAACACCGCGCCTCCGCCTGGGTAGCAGGACGCACATCTGGGGCCTGCTTGGGTTCTCTGTCCACGGGGCCTTGATGCTCCCAGCGTGTCTCTGGGTTGAAAGCCACACTGGACTCTCAGAGTCTCAGTTTCACTGCTTTGGGAGAGGACTGCCTCCTCTGAAGTAAACCTTCCCAGGGGCCACCAAAGTGAATTATGTGTGTACCATACAGCCTGATTTTAAATCAGACTATCCCAAACACATCCTCCACATCCGGCGAAAAGTACACTCACATGAACGATGCTCCCCGGTATGAAGAAACTCTAGCTCCGTTCGCCTGTCATTTTCAAGTGCTTCTTGTGTTTTCTGGCTCTGAGCATATTTAGAGACACAAAACACAGTTCTGAATTAACAGGAAAAGTTTGATTCATCCCTCACCTGAGGGATAGAAGCAGTGTATTTCTATCACTAAAGAGTAGTTAACAAGTATCAGAGTATTGTCACCTGTATCTTTCCTAACTGGCACATCATCATTCAGAATCATTTCTAATTTATTATCTCTTAAATCAAATCAATTCTTTATATACCTATCATTCTTTAAGGCCATTCTATGCATGCGACATTTCTTAAGACTAGTCTATGTATTTGACTTTTTTTGCCTCTAGTTTTAGTCTGCTTAACACTAACTGAAACTACTTCAGCTCTGTAGGTCAATAAGGTTTGTTTTGATGGGACATGCTCATCCCACTAGTATCAGAAGTAGATGGTAAAAAATGGGCTAACACAGCAGTAACTGAAGATGTTTTCAACATATCGGTATTCACCTAAACGTCCTTACAGCACACAAACACTTCCTGGGTCGATGTACAGGTACCCTCACCTCAGTGGGACTCTCCACTTCCCCAGCCATGTGACCAGATCATGACCTGGTGTTAAAAACAAACAACAGCAAAATACCACTTTGGAGTTCATATTCTGAAGTTGAAGGTATTTGAACAAGTCACAATCTCTCTGGGCTAAAGTTTTATCATCTGGATAATGGGAGAGGTACCACAGAGGGTTGCCACGAGGCCATAGGAAAATTAAATCATTCTCTGTTTTGAATAATGTGATTATGAAAAAGGATACATGTTTCAATGTTGGCCCCAACGATATAGCCAGTTACGTCAAAGTTGATCCGAATAAACTTGCCCTGAAAATAAATCACAAAGAGAAAACTGAAAATAAATTAAGGACACAGGAGATCTGACACTATAATAAAACAATAAGCCAGAGTACCCTGTCATGTATCCATGAATTGCTTACAAAAGCGGATCTTACATATTGCCCCAAATAAAAAGAAAAAGGCTCAATAAATTTTAAGATGTAGGGTTAGGATAGGTTACTCTCCTTGACATAATAAAAATGAAACCCTAACCATTTAGAACTTTTTAAAAGCTCTTCTAAATAATCTGAAAGATTTTAATAGCTTTAAAGGAACACTATGCCCAGCCCTATAATGCTAGACTTGAAAAAAGTAAATAATATAGATGACTTCCTAAGAAAACAGAAATCCATTCAGGAAAACAACAAGAGAAAACTTGAACCGACCATAATCATAGAAAATAATAAAATATAATTACTCCTTTAAAAATGATGGATTGGTCTTAAATAGTTTTGCAAATTCCTAGGGAATATTTGATTGCTTTACTACATAACTGTTTCAGGGAAACCGAAAACAGTGATTCTTTCATAATTCATTTTATAGAGTTGTCATAACACTGAATACCCAAACTGGTAAAGAGATCATAAAAAAGGGAAAGCAATATAAAAGCAAATATCTTACTTATAAATACTGATATAAAAGGCCAAATTAAATACTTTGCAAAATAAAGGAACATAATAATGATAAAAAATTCCAGGACTGCTAAGGACTGATACTGGTAAACATACTACTGTTATTCAGCAAATGAAAAGGCAAGGGATTGGAAGGCTTTCTTTATAGAAGTGGACAGGCAGATTCTAAAATTTAAGGGAAATGAAAAAGATCTAGCAAAGTCACAACAATTCTGAGAAAGAGGACCAGAGCTTGAGGACGTGCACTACTGGATTTCAAGAAGCTATAAAATTATTAAGACAGTGTGGTATTGATTAAAGGACAGAGATACAGAACAATGGAGCAGAGTCCAGAAATAGACCATGCACATTCGGTCAGTTCATCTTTGACGAAGGTGCCGAGGTAATTTAACAGGGAAAGGACCAGTCTTTTCAACAAGTGGTGCTTGAAAAATATGCAAAATGAAACAAAAAGAACCTAGACCCTTACCCCACACCATATACAAAAATTAACTCAGAATAGATCGGGGGCTTCCCTGGTGGCACAGTGGTTGAGAATCTGCCTGCCAGTGCAGGGGACACAGGTTTGAGCCCTGGTCCGGGAAGATCCCACATGCCACGGAGCAGCTAAGCTCTTCATTTCTACACCGTCCACTTCCTTCCCATCACTTTCATATACAATTCTGCCTTCAGCATTTGTCCCTTTACAAACCATACTGCATAAATGCTGATCCGCAAACATCACACAAGATGAAAGAACACTGTCACATGGCCGTTTAGTAAAACCAGCGGTCCAGATTCTTATTACAAAATTCTGAGTTAGGAAATCCTTCCTGTTGAATGACTAACTGGATGCCAATGACACATTTCCTTTTTGTCTTTAGAAATAGATTGTTCTTGAGTTTGAGAAAATTCAAGGCTATACCATTTGAAGACTCAACCTGAGACTTACAGAACCAATTTCACTGTCATCAGAGTCTACAACGCTGTCTGTCTCTTTGCATTCATCTTCGGATTCATCTAATATTTGTGAAATGTGTCCCTCTGTCACTTTACTGCTCTTTGTCATTAAGGTGAAAACTTCTGATTTTTTCAGTTATGTTCACTGAAATCTAAAATCAGACTACAAAAATGCTGTCTGTAGCATTCTTTCATACCTTCTTGAAAGAGAATGCAATTCTTTGGGCAATACAATAAGCAAACGAAAGGATGACGCAACAGTCACTGTTACAGCCTCCTTCTAGGCAATTCCATTAGTCTTATTACTTTAGTCTTTTTTTAAAATAAATAAATAAATTTATTTATTTATTGGCTGCATTGGGTCTTCATTGCTGCGCACGGGCTTTCTCTAGTTGCGGCGAGCGGGGTTTACTCTTTGTTGCGGTGCCTGGGCTTCTCATGGCGGTAGCTTCTCTTGCTGCGGAGCACGGGCTCTAGGCGCGCCCGTGGGCTCAGTAGTTGTGGCACATGGGCTCAGTAGTTGTGGCTTGCGGGCTCTACAGCACAGGCTCAGTAGCTGTGGCACACAGGCTTAGCTGCTCCACGGCATGTGGGATCTTCCTGGACCAGGGCTCAAACCCATGTCCCCTGTGTTGGCAGGTGGATTCTTAACCACTGTGCCACCAGGGAAGCCTCTATTTTAGTCTTTTTAAACACTGTTGGGAATAACTGATGAATAATGATGAATCAATGCCAAGGATGATGAAATAGCAAAATGTTACAAAATACAGAAAAAAATAAGATCACTAAAACCCTTAATTTTTCTTAGCTTTATAAAATGGCCCAAAGGACTCATATGGTAATTATGAGAGAAAATGAGTTTTATGGTATTTTTAAAATAAGTCATTTTTGTTCTTGTTTTGTGGAAGACCCTTAAGAAACAATAAAGTTCAAACCTATCAGTCCTTACAAATCATTAGAACTGCTCCAAAAAAACCCCTCAAAAACTAAAATCAGGTCCTGATGTTATAATGAGGATTAGAATTCTTTACAAATTTTAAACAGCTGTATCATCTATACACTATTTCATTAATAAAAAATCACTATTTTAAGAGAGTAGTCAAGACAAAGTAGTAGACAAAGTAGACAAAGTAGTCAAGACTTCAAAGCTGCCAACACAACTGCTCAGATACTTTTTCAAACTTCTCACTTTAACCCTGCAGAAAGGTTAATCAAAATCATGTCATATCACCTAATTCTTACTGAATATTTCACTTAAAAATTCATTATATAGTAATAGAAACGTTCAGCTTTCAATAACTTGTCTAATTTATTATGTATTTATCTGCATGCTGTTTAAGCTTTCAACTTCTTATACTATTTCCTATTCCCTTTTCTTTGCCACTCTACATTAGAAGTTCAAAATTCATTGAACAAAAGAAATTATTTGGGCAAAAGGACAAAGTTATCACACTGGTAATGTTGAACACTATCCATTTTATATTTGGTGAACTTATTTTTCCTTTACTTCATGAGAAAATATAAACTAAAAAAGGAAGTTAGATTCAAAGGAGAAAAAAAAAAAAACAAACTAAAATTTTTTAGTTCTTCTGAACTAAAAACATGGGCTTCTGAACAGGTAACCTAAAAAGAAATGTCCCCAAATAATTTAGACATGTGATCACTTACCTGGATAAACAAAGTCACCAACATACAACATCTAATTTGCTCATCAGTTCCCTAGCCAAATCGGTTCCCTTTCCTTTTTATAACTGGCATCCGTAGTTGCTCTAACCATTACAGCTAGTGCCAGAGAAATATCTTTTGGCTAAAGGAAAAGCGCCAGGCAAAAAACTAATGAAAAAAGAGGATGGAATGAGAAAGCCTACATGTGGAAGAAGGCAGAGTGGACTGGGGGTGTCCCTCTGGCCCTGTCCTGACCCCAAAAGAAACCAGTAACTGAAAACAACCTACTCAGTAACTAATAAATCTTGGTTCTATTTTTAAAACACTTTAACAAAACAAAAAAACCTTATAAAGTTGAAAATTATCAACTCTCCATGCTAAGTGATACTCATGTTCAGCTATTTTACGAGATCTACCCAAGTATCAATACTTTGACAAGAGAAAAAAGCAAAATTTCTGAACCAAAAGGAAATACTTTACTGAATATCCCCCAAATGGTCTAGGATTTAAATATTCCCCTTAATGTTGAACATCCTGGCAAATTAGGTAAGAGGCAGGCCAGGGGATGTGAAATCACTTCAGTGTTAGTCTTGGGGTGGGGTCAGAGGAGAAAATAAAATATATAGGTTGAAAAGCTTTTCCGTCACATACATAATAAATACTCTTTCAGAATTAACGTTTTTATTAACATACAAATCTAAAGTGGAAAAGAAGCAGAGTTTTACTTTTAAATGGGTTGGGTCCTCTCATCTTTTAGACATGATGTGAAGAAACTTGTGGTGAAGATGCCCACACTGTATTTGATTCCCATATAGGTCAGATTATGGTACTCAGAATATTCAACCAGGATTTCGCCAATAAAAACAAAAACAAAGGAAAAGCAAAAAAAAAGGACAAGTACATTATGTGTTAATGATAGAGGATGCATTTTGATGCCAGGCACATTGCTTCCCAATCCAAGGACAACTAAGACAGCATGTTACTGCAAGAGTCTGAACAGCAAAGATGGCCAGAATCCTCTCTCTTATGTAAAACAGAAACTAAAGAATTTCACTCAAAAGATGCAATAGGACAACCTGGATATTTTGATAGTCAAGAAAATAAGAAGAAAATTATCTTACTTAAAGAATTTTATGCCTTCTGAATCGACATTGGCTTTCTGGAACTTTTTCGGTGGGTGGTTAAGACGTATCCATAGTTATTAAATCTAGAGTGTTAGCAACTTACTGCAGGGACAATGCAGGTTTGTTTCATGCTCTGAAAATACTTTCCCCCTTCCTAATTTGGTATTTAAAGTTGTCATAAGATCTGTAATTTACCTGAAAACATGTTAGTATAGATAGCGTGCTATGGATGTGTATTAGTTTGCTCCAGGAAATATCTCCACTCTGGAAGCAGCTATTTGCCCTAAATGGGAAAACCCATTCGGGAAGTAATTAGTTAGGATTTAATCCCAAGGCCAGATGGCTATTGTAAATGCTTCAACTATCTTAATCTCCAGATTACACCAGAAGCTTTGTTAATTAGTAAAATGAGTTTTCTTGTGAACTAAGTGGCCCTGTTACTTAGTGTAACGGATGTTAAGAAATTCCTGGGGAAAAATGAGTGACATTAATAGCCATGGACTGATTGGAAATACACAGATGTCTGCCAGCCAGTCTGGTGTGGGCCGGGTGTCAAGGCTGCAGCGAGCCCCAGGGGCTGCCGGGTTGGGAGGGCAGCCGTGGATCTGGAGGATGGGAGTTGCGTGGT